GGGAAACAGCCTCCCTGGGAATGTTGGTTTGCATATTTATGAGCTTGGTGCTTAAAGTGCAGACTACTTGGGGAAATCATTCAGCAGAGTCTTCTGCTAAGTCAGACACAAAAGTTCTGCCCAGGCTTGATTCACATTCTTTCTTTTTTTTTTTTTTTTTTTTTTTTTTTTAGGATTTTATTTATTTATTTGACAAATAGAAGGAACACAAGCAGGGGAAGTGGGCAAGGGAGAAACAGACTCCTCGCTGAGCAGGGAGCCTGATGTGGGGCTCGATTCCAGGACCCTGGGATCATGACCTGAGCTGAAGGCAGATGCTTAACCGACTGAGCTGTCCAGGTGCCCCTTGATTCACATTCGTTAGATGATTGCTGATTGGAAGCTTTCACTCTTCAGTAGAGACGGCATGAGGAAATGGAATCTGGTAATAATTGGGCGGCTCCTGCAGGCTCATATGTTAGCTGCTGTTCGGTACAGATGTTCTCTTGCTGGCCACTAAAAATACCAAAGGTTAATATATTTTCTCGGCCAAAATCATGCGGTATTCCCAGTTATATAGTTCTTGGCAAGAATTTCTTACAGGAGATGGGGAAGTTTTTCAATTTCAGGTTCAAGGAAAGGGAGTGGCGTTTATGAAATAACTAGGAGGGTTTGCAGCTCTGAAACTCCCGTAAAGCCTCAGTGTTCGAACTGGTTTTGCAAAAGGTTCCATAAAGCCTCCCTTTTGGGCATGAATCTTCTTACATATACATTTAATTAAGGACATATATGGCATGTTCTGTCTTTGTGCGAGGATGACTGAAGCAAGCAGCTATGCGTCTCAGAATTAGTTTCTGGGTGAGGCACTTGTGACTATTCTTGGGCTGGAAACACTGCTGTCACCCGGAATTAATGATCTTGAAGACAAAGATAATTAGACCTGAAGTTTCAAAAGCGTTTTAGAACTTTGCTGATGTTGGCCAAGCCTGAGGAACTCTGAGAGCCCCCAGTGTGCCCTGATTCTGGTCTACCCACAGCAAAGCTCTTTGACTGTATGGGGTGGGGGATGGGCACATTTTGCATATGTGCTGTAGTTGTGTCTTGACAGTACAGAGTTTTCTGGCGTTTTCCCTTTGGTGGTCTGAGAGGTGAATTAGGAAGGGCTTTGGAATAGCACTGTGTGCTTAGAGTTCCATGGAGTGGGGCAGAAATGCAGCATCTGGGAATTCTGTAGGCATGGAGCCTGGTGCACGCACTGTGGGAGAGTTGTACTTGACAAGCAAGGCTCAGGACCTGGACTAACTGAACTAGGCCTTAGCACATTCCTGGGTGGTAGAGTACCAGCCTTAGGGTACTGCCCTTCCAGTTCAGTGCTTCCTTACTTAGAGAACGTGGGACGCCCTTCCTTGTTTCGGGTTCAGTCCTGCGTGTTTCTTGGAAGCTTTTCATGTGCATCTCCTGAATCTATGGAAGCTAAGGGTTTTGCTGTTCAGCTTCATGAGATGTTTTAAGACTTTTCTGGAGGGATGTAGGAGTTCGAGGCAGACACAGTCCTTGTCCTGGGCTTGCTTTCGGCTCCTTCCTTTGGTGTCACTTTTGCCTTCCCACATTGCTTGCCACTTCCCAGCGGCATTCCTGGAATTCCTCTTCTTTTTCCCTTGGCTGGTGAGTTACAGCACGCATCAGTGAGGACACCCTGCACTGTCCAGCTTTGCTTTTCTTACTTCTTCGTGCAGGCTTTACGGGAAGAACAGGGAAGAATTCAGAGTGTAAACAGAGTGGACACTGTCAAATGACACGGGATTTTTTTCCCTTTTTTTTTTTTTTTTTTTTTTTTTAAAACTCTGGGCCCTTGTTTAGTTGATGATTTGTGAATGAGTTTTTCCTGGTAGAACAGTTCTCTATAATTCTATATCGTCTTTTTTTTTTTTTTCCCTTTACGACAAAACAATAGAGACAGATTTTTTGATCCGAGAAGTTTTCACCTGCAGCCTATCAGAAAATAAAATTAACAAATGGCCTTTTTATTTTTAATGACAAATTATTCTTGTCCTTAGTGGTTAGACAGATTATGCTTATAACTAATAAAGGTGGGGATCACTTTTATTACCACTCTTGGACACTTGTTGATCTGAAAGTTTTGCTGTTCATTAGCAAAAGTAGTAAGATCGGATCAAAGTGTCATTCCTAATTAGATCTTGTTAAAGCTCCTAAAAATTACACCTCTGTACCTCACCAAACAAGGTAGTTTCCTTCTCAGGAACCTTCACATACAAATATATTTTCACTCAAAATACTAAGCCCAATAAAAACAAAAGTAGAAACAGACCTCCATAGGAAGGTCTGTTTTTGTTTTCAAGTCGGGCCAGTGTCTCCATTCTGCAGATATATGGGTATACCTACTAAGCACAGAAGCCAGCTCACTTGATAGTAGTAAGCAGGGGTCTCCAGGCTCGATTGAGGCCTGAAGACAAAGTTGGATCCTCTTTGTGGCCATATGCTGGGTGGGAGAGGGAAGCCCGGTCCACAAAAGGGAGAGAGGGTTTATTCTTTGCAGCCCCATGGTGACCCGAGTGCTGAAACCATTCCTCTAGATTTTATAGTAGTCCCAGTGTTAATTATCCTATTTTAGTACCTTGGTAATTCCCCAGATGTCTTTTCTAATTTTGTATTGGGCAAAGATGGTCTCCATTGTTAGGTAGAGTACTCTTTGATCCAAGATCAGTGGTGAGTACTCTTACCCAGTCCTATGTCTTCATGTCCTGAAAGCACCTGGAGCTGCCTTGTCTCTGAAGTTGAGGTCTGATTCAGGCTGGAAAGTTGCTGCCATGGGTTAGTTGCATTTTGTAATGTGAGTGATTACCAAGAAAGATGTCTGAGGCCTTGTTGGCCTCCTGACCACTGGTATTGTTGAAGAGCTGTACTTGATGGATTTGGGGTCATGTTCCATCTTGCCAACTCGGAAAAGCAGAGGAAGTCCCCGCGTACGTTTCTGGTATTTTGCATTTCCACTCTGCCATGTGGAATCTTCTGACTCTTGTGTTTGGCAAGAGACTTCTAAATGTTTAGGGAAGAAACTGTGTCAAAGTTAGACTTTGGACCGAGAAGCCAGAGAGGCTGTAATGGAACTTCACAGAACAAACACAGAAATAACCATAATATGCAGAAACAGTGATAAGCCACCTCATTTCTAAGACCTATCAAAAATGTTTAAAGTAGTGAGCTGTTTGTGAATTACTCTCTAACCTCAGAATTCTTCAAGTGGCTGAAAAAGCAGTCACGACTTGTCAGAGACAGCTTCTTTCCAGTATGCATGCCTTAGTATTTAAAATGACTTGATTTTTTTTTTTTTTTTTTAAACTCTAAACCCTTTTAAGCTTTTGGAAAATGTCTTTTAGTTGTCAGTCTCTGTTACACCAGAGCTCTGATTCCAGATGTGTGTAGGGAACTACTGTAGCTTGTGAAAAATTCTGGCTTAGATTTCTTCCTGGTTCCTAGAACATTCGTGTCTTCCTTGTAGACACAGCCGGCTTGAGGTTGTCATGACCTTCCTGAAAAGCAGCCAGTGAAAAGGCCACAATGTCCGTGGGGTCAGGTAGTGAGCTAGGGACCCAAGATAGACTGTGAATAGGGACAGTGCACCTTGACTCTAGTAACTTGGAGATCTCCAGAGCAGCCTCCTGAAAAATGTTGATTTGATAGAATTACAAAGGATTGTTTTAAAAGCCTCTTCAGTCTGACTTTGACTATGGAGGTTTGATTTCTCAGGCGACAACATGGCATGTTTTTCTGCTGGAAGTGGAAGGTGTTGTCAAAATGAAATTGGGTTTCAAAACAACTTCAGTAGCTTAGATTTTCTCTCTCTCTTCTGGACACAAATGTGTATGCATGTGAAACAATTTTCACATGATGGTTTGTGAAATGTCAGAATACACATTCAGTATACAGAATATGGATGATGACTTCCCTTAAAGAACAAATAACATTGGCAAGCTGTGTTTAATTTTGTAGTCCCACCATTTTATAATAAGTGACTTCATGTAATGGCCCATCCTTTGGGATTCTTAAAGAAATAGAAGAGATTTTTCTAAATGATGAGATGGTTCTGGGGTTGTATTAATTGAGTGGTAACTTGAACCTTTCGGGTACCCTGGATTTAGCTTGGGCTGAGATCCTTCCCTCTCCAAGATGGAACTGTGTGAAAAAGGGACATCATCCGATATGACATTTATTACATTCTTTGGTTGTAACAGGAAGAGAGCCCATATAGGGTTTGGGAGTATTTGGGGGTAAGTTTAAGTGACCAAGCTCAAAGATCAGTGGCTTATCTAAACTTGTAATTTTGCAATAGGGTGGCTTTGTGTTTGCTGCTGTTCTCTTTGCAGAGCTGGCCCTTTCTTCCCTCCCCCACTCAGTGCCTGTTGTCAGAGAGATCCTGAGTTCTGGTCTCCTTCCCAAGAAGTAGCACCATTTATGGTGCTTGCTACCACTGAGCTTATAATAGCAACAACACAACCATAACCATACCATGGTTGATGCTTACTCATCCCCCACTAAGTGCCAGTCCCTGCCTGGGTTCATTTAATCCTGGGTCGGTACTGTTGTCATCTTCATTTTAGAATAGACAATCAAGAGACACAAGAGCCCTGAATCTACCTTGCCCCCCCATTCAGGGGTGGAGGTAGATTTGCGCCCCAGGTCCCCTGACTACTGATGCTTCTGCTCTGCACATCACCCATGTGCCTGCCGTTAGGGACTGGGGACTGTGCAGATTTCAACCTAAGGTCCTGGCTACTCCCCTTGAATTTGAGACACATACCTGTGAGGCTTCATTGTCTTCTGGTAGAAATGGAATATATTACCACTGGGCTTTCACTGGTTTGCATTCTTTTCTAAGATTAGAAGAGGTGGGAATGGGGCCATGTGATAGTCAAGGGATCTAGCTCAGAAGGGCGGAGTTCATGTATCAGGGATACATGGAATTTTGATCTGAAAATGTGTGTATCTTTGTTTCTTCTCAGGTTCTCCTTATTATGACAACGTCCGGCCCCTCTCTTACCCGGATTCAGACGCTGTGCTCATTTGCTTTGACATCAGTAGGCCAGAGACTCTGGACAGCGTCCTAAAAAAGGCAAGTGCTGGGGACGAGGGCGCAGTTCAGGCTGGCCCATGTGTTAAACAGACACGGGAGGTTGGCTGGGGGCCCCAACACTCTGCTTAATAACTGGGCCTACGTATTTCGTAATTAGAAGATTGGAAAAAACCCCTCTCATACCATACCGGTGATTCCACCCATACATGTCACAAGTTTGATGAACCTGCGTATGAGTTTCTTTCATTTTAAGAAACAAGATACCCTATAAAGAGCCTCTGTGTTTATCCTTTGGGCAGAAAGGTGCAGCTAAAAATAATGATACTTGATTACTCTCAAGCACGTGTCTTCTTTTTCCATCCTTCCTTTCCCCTATAGTTTGTGCCTTAGTTTACAGGTTTACATTGACCTCAGCTTAGTGAAATGAATGCAATAACTGCCCTTTTAATAAAGAAGCTGTGCCTCGGTAATGATGTTATTTATTAGAAATAGAACACGGGGAGGGGAGGTGTGTTTACAGGTGTGTTTACAGACATTAGACAAAGTGAATTGTGATCAGAGAGCAATCAGAGTGATCAGAGAGCAATCATAGAGTAATAAAAACAGGAGTTGTAAACACGTGAAAGATAACATAGCCGGTTTCTGAGGGTTTGTGAGGTTTAGTAGGTGGAAAAGGGCCTGAGCAAGCTCAGGCTGGACGCAGGAGGATGTCAGGAGGAAGGGGGCATGTTGCAGGCTGGGTCACAGATCTCTCCCACAGATCCTGGGGAGACCCAGGGGGAGGAAGAGTGTTTCTGGGCCTCCACCAGCCTAAGACTGAACCTCCTGCTAGTCCCAGAAGGCGTGTGTGTGTCCATGCCTCAGCATGGATTAGCCATTAGCTGTTTTCTCAATCCTGGCCTGAGAGCTAGGAGGTTTCAGAATCAGACCCTTCTGTAACGCACCCCTGCGCCTCCGCACCGCCCCTTGCGTTGAGTCTTAGGCAGAGAATGTGGTTGGTTGAGAGCAAGGTAGTGTTTTCATTATCTTGCATGTTTTTGTTACTTTACATTTCCCTGTTAGACTTGCTTGTCTTAGGTGTCATTAGGAAATTAGTATTTGGACGGTGATGCAGTCGCTCCTCACCCCTGTTTACCAAACATGACAAACACAGCTTCATGAAGGATTAATTTCTTGAAAGATCAAAGGCTCTTTTTAACTCTGTTCAATTTTCAGTAATGTGTTTTCTTAACGCAAATAATGCTGATGTTTGTCAGATTCGGGCAGGAATACACCTTTCCTGTCTTCAAGGCTTGTGAACAGTTGCTAGACATGCAGAGGGAGGCCAGAGTCACTACACAGCCGAGGAACAGCGCGACGACGTGTCTACGGCTTGTCTGTCGATGAAAGAGATTGCTTATTTACTGGGGTTTTCACTTGATGTAGTATCAAGTTATACATAATTTATGATGAAAAGCCTTGCTCTTGTTTTATTTTGCTTTCGTCTTCTGAGACCTAATGAATAGTGACTCTGGCCTTAGAGAGATTAATGAATATGTTTTACATTTGTGTGAAGTTTAAGGCTCATGATAACCTGTGCTGTGGTTTGTCTTGATTAATTGATTCTTTAAGTCCTTGAATATCACAGAGTTTCGAATGACATAAAGCAGGATAGATCTTTTTATGGTGGATCAATTAGGCTCTCGTGGAAAGTGAATTACTTCCTTTAGTCTGCCCAAAGTACACGTCTGGACCTGGAGATGTCCCCTCTAGTGGTCTTTTATTTTTATTTTTATTTTTTTTAAGATTTTTTTTATTTATTTGACAGAGATCACAAGTAGGCAGGGAGGCAGGCAGAGAGAGAGGAAGGGAAGCAGGCTCCCTGCTGAGGAGAGAGTCCTATGCGGGGCTCAATCCCAGGATCTTGAGATCACGACCTGAGCCGAAGGCAGAGGCTTTAACCCACTGAGCCACCCAGGCGCCTCTCTAGTGGTCTTTTAAAAGAGTCCCACAGGATGTTCCTTCTGTTCTAGTATTACATACATGGCTTTGTTACCCTTGCTTTTCTGTGAATTCCACAACTATGTCTTAATCTTTTTAATGACCACAGTACCTAGTAAAACACATGATGCGTATTTGTCTGTGTGGTCTGGGAGAGCCAGCCTGGGTCCTGATATCCACCCTCTAGTCCCTCTTCTCCAGGAGCCAGAGCTCTCCTGGGAACACTCTGAACCCCTCACTCCCGTCCTGATGGTCACCCTGACTCCCGTCCTGATGGTCATCTCAAGCTTGAGGAAATGAAACCACAAAAAGCTGTTCGCTCTTAAAGAGGACAATTGGAATTCCTTGCTAGGCATTTCTGGAGCTTCTAAATTCTGGTTAGGTCATGCAACAACTAGCTAAGTTGGACTAAATTGAAACATTTAACAACTTAATGTAATTTAAAACTAACTTAAGGGCGTAGCAGCCATAGGATCAGATGCTTTCCTGAGAGCTCAAAAGATGGGCCTTTGTAAATGTCATGGTCTGTGTTGTTCTAGTCACTTGAGTGGAGGGTGTGGGGTTTTTTGGTTGTTGTTTTTTGAAGATTTTATTTATTTGACAGAGACAGCGAGAGAGGAGCACAAGCAGGGGAAGTGGGAGAGGGAGAAGCAGGCTTTCCACCAAGCAGGGAGCCCGATCGATGTGGGACTCAATCCCAGGACCCCGAGATGATGACCTGAGCCAAAGGCAGACACTTAACTACTGAGCCACCCTGGTGCCTGAGTGAAGTTATTAACATTGTCTCCTGTCCCTGATACGTCACTAGAAATTTCAGCCCATGGTGGCTGTTCAGTCCTTCTTGATGGAATTCGTGGATGCATACCTGTGCTTGTGTTGACTCTGCCTTATTCCCAGCCTTCCATGCGGGGAAATTCCAGCTCAATGTATCTGAGGATATAGTTGCTTGTTAGAATATATAATTACTCCTAAGGCACTTTTATCTTTCAGAGATACCCTAATAATTAAGAAATTAATGAAGCTACCCCCAGCAAGTCTCTTGCAGTAGGGATGGATGATGAGTCACAGAGAGGGAGAATAGATAATACACATAAGTGGTCCCTAATGGGTCCACTTTAAAAAGTAGTAAAACTTTGAGGCGCCTGGGTAGCTCATTTTGTTAAGCATCTGCCTTTGGCTCAGGTCATGATCCTAGGGTGCTGGGATGGAGCTCTGCATCGGGCTCCCTGCTCAGCGGGGAGACTGCATCTCCTCCTCCCTCTGCCCCTCCCCCCACTTGTGCACACACGTGGACATGCTCTCTCTCTCTCAAATAAGGACAAAAGTTTTAGGAAGTAGTAAAACTTGGGATGCCTGGTGGCTCAGTCAGTTAAGCCACCTGCCTTAGGCTTAGGTCATGATACCAAGTTCTTGGAATCAAGCCCTGCATTGGGCTCCCTGCTCGGCAGGAAGCCTGCTTCTCCCTCTGCCTGTCACTCCCCCTGCTTGGGCACTCTGTCTCTCTCTGAAATGTAAATAAATCTTTTTAAAAAATCATGAAATTTAATATCTGAAAGATAAATGTGAATTTGCTTCTTCATTTGAAGTGACACTTTCTTTCAAATGTTCTTTTAGAGTCCCGTTCCCAGTGTCTGCCAGTGGAAGAGTGGTTGACCAATATATAGATGCCTTTGTTAATATATAGATGTACTTTGTTAAATTTTCATCTTTCTCCTCTCTTCTTGCCCCCTTAGTGGAAAGGTGAAATCCAGGAGTTTTGCCCCAACACCAAAATGCTCTTGGTTGGCTGCAAATCTGACCTTCGGACAGATGTCAGTACCTTAGTAGAGCTCTCAAATCACAGACAGACGCCAGTGTCCTATGATCAGGTATGTATGTTGTCAGGGTGCAAATGCGGCTTTCGAAGAGTGACACAGTATCATTCCTAAGAAAATAAAAGTAGCTGCTCTTCTAAAGGTTCAGCCAGGGGTCAACTCCAGGTTGAATAAAGGCTCTTGAGTAAGATGCAGAACGAGCGCCCCGTGTTGGGATGGTGACATCTGGAGAAAAGGGCTGGCGATTTTGTGCCTCTGCCTTGATAGTGACCATCATAGCCCCCCATGACAGCCCATAGCTCAGATTGTGAAGACTGCAAAGTGATGTGAGGCAGACAGGGGCTTGGCTGAAGTTTTGATGGTGTTTATGCCTGGCCCTCTCAAAAAACTTCTTGATTTTTTTTTTAGCAGTTTACTTTATATAAGGATTATATAAGGATAGATGTGTATGCATAAATAAGACAAGTTTGGGGAACATCTTTCAAAATGTGAAATGCTCTGTCATTGAGTAGGGTAATCACATGGTACTTGATTACTGAGCATATAAACAGTGGGTCATATTCAGCCCTTTGTCTATCTCTGCAACTTTCACTGGGTTTAAAGTTAAATAGGTCTAAGAGATGATGTGGTCAGATTGGTAATACTCTTTGAGAGAGATAATCTTACTTTACACTCCGCAGTACAATCAAATACTTAAGGAGGACATGGTCAGTAAAAGTAGAACTTTCCATAAAACTGTCTTCTAGAGATTGATCATTTCTATAGGTGTTTCCCCTAAGTATCTAGAAGGGAGGAGGATCACTTTCAGACGTTCATTCTCCTACAACTTAAAACCAGAATTAAAGAGAGTTAAAGTTAACCAGCTAGAATTTTCCTTCGTGTTCATCATTTTAAATACTGCAGTCATGTTTGTCTTACGTGTCTAATTAATAACAACCTAGTTCCTTCAGTAAGTCATTTTGGTCCACACATGCTTATTACTGTCTACACCTTGTCTGGTCTGTGTTTAGAATGTCCATATGCTGTGTTTCCCACAGTTCTGGATGCCACAACAGGGTTACTCCTTTTTGGCCATCCATTTCAAAAAGGGTTCTAAATACCCTCCCCGCCCCCTGTTTTTTATATAGCCTATTCACGAGTTTTGAGCACCATTTACACTCAAGAAATCAGACTTTCGCACCTCTGGCAAGTCACGCGCTATCTGTTGAGTGATGATAATTGAACATCTTAGGGGACTGAGTGTTGACCACAGATATTTATGAAATGATTTATTATTAAAATAATTAAAATTTTTAAACCGAGCGGATTCCTTTGGCAGCGACACTTGGGAAATACAGCTCGCACATTAGAAATTTTTTGCGCCGCACTGTTACTTTGTGGTATTGGGAAGACACTCTGTAACTTTCCCCCATGACTTACTGCCGATTATGATGGCATTCTTTTGCATTTCAGGGGGCAAATATGGCCAAACAGATTGGAGCAGCCACGTACATCGAATGCTCAGCTTTACAGTCAGAAAATAGCGTCAGAGACATTTTTCACGTTGCCACCTTGGCGTGTGTAAACAAGACAAATAAAAACGTGAAGCGGAACAAATCACAGAGGGCCACAAAGCGGATCTCACACATGCCCAGCAGACCAGAACTCTCTGCGGTTGCCACGGACTTACGAAAGGACAAAGCGAAGAGTTGCACTGTGATGTGAACCCCCAGCCCGTTCTCTTTAAGGAGGACAAGGATGCCTCGTGTAAAGAACACAAACCGCAGAACAGAAAGGTGACACCCGAATGACGTGCACAGCCAGAGTCACATATTCTGGAGGCTTAGGAGGTGTTGGAAAAGAGGCTCTTCTTTTTGGAATCCTGTCCTTAGGTTTGGCATGTAGAACAGGTGGTGACGTGAACACATGGAAGGGTTTGGAAGTGTGACTTGAAAAATAGGCCAAAAAAAGAGAGATTCACATGGGCTAGAGGTAGATAGGAGGAACACAAGGACCTCCCGGGAGAAGAATCACGCTCTGAATGGTGCTTGCGTTTTTGTTTTTCTTCATTACAGGCTATTCATGGATCTCTACTTTGATTTGATTTTTAAATGTTTTAATCTCCTTTACAGAAAAGTATATATTAATATACCGTCCTCATTGGGGAACTGGCACTGTGACCTTAGCGTTTAGTTTTCTAGAGGATGTGATCTAATTTCCTCCTAGCTCATCATTAAAATGGAAATTGTATCAGGACCCATGGGATATCCAGAGGAAAAGTTGGGGAGGCTTTTTGAAATCTTGCCTCCTGAAGACAGCTGAGCAAGGTGGTTCCAAAGAAAGGCTTTTGGAGTCTTGCAAGATACACAGACCAGCACTACAGAGATCAGAGAGATCAACTAGAAAAAAAGTTGTCCGTTTTTATTCAGTCTGATGGTTCTGTTCATCATTGTGATTGTCATGAAAAAGTGGTAAATTGCTCAGTGTGATATTTTTGTGCGCTGTTTAGAAAAGAGGGTGTGTGGTTTCTTTGGCCATCATTGATGAAAATGCAAAGTCAAAGAAGAGGTGTCTTGGTTTGACGTCCTAAAATGATCCAAGGGGAGAAAATAATGTAGGTACTATTTTCGCCTGAAGAGTTGATGAAGGAATAGTAGCAGAAAGCACAGTTTGTGAGTAAAGCTGTCTGGAATTCAGTCACCAAAAGTACAAAGCAAAAGGCCTGTTAATTTTGGGATGAAGCTCCGGAAGTTAACAGCCTCTAATGATCTCTTGGTTTATTTCACTTTTCTTTAAAAGAACAGCTATAAGAGAAGGACCCTCTTACCTAAGCTTTAGAGAATCCTTAAGAGGAAAAGTCTGTGATGTCAGTCCCGATGCTGTACTCGGGCATTTCCAGAGAATGATTGCTAATCATCACTTACCCAGACTCACCCAAGGCCCGTGTTCAATACTTGATTGCTGTTGTTAGATAAAATAATCAGCATTTAAAGAGTTTACAGATATTTTTTGACCAGTTCCTTTTAGAGCTTCTTTCAGAGAAGAAACCAGATCTGACCTGTTTATTGTTGGCGCTTGTTGAAAACGAGCTTTCTTTCCAGTGATAAAGCTTCATTTTTGAAGTGTTGAAGCTGTGCTCCCATTAAATTGTTTCAGGAGAGGAGATTAAGGTAATTACAACACTCAGTTCTTTGTCTCACAAGCACTTTGTTTTGTCTCTGCAAGAAAATACCATTCTAGTCATTTCCCATGAAGTACAGACGTTTTACCAACAGAATATGCTTTGGTCGATGCCGCATTATGCTTCGGGCAGTGTTACAAGATAGCTGGCAAGTGCTTTCTGTATTTAAATATTGTAAAGAGAAAAATAAGTTATAACTGTTAAAAGCAGAACTTTCATTGCATTTTTTTTTAAATGTTGAAGTCACTTTGTATGTTTGGTCAATGTTTCCGCAGTATTTATTAAAACATACTTTTTTTTTTCCTTCAAATAAAAAAGTAACCATGTCTTTGTCTAAATGTGATTTCGTCTGTTATTATCTACTTCCTGATTTAACTGTTCGGTTTTGTTTAGTAGAGATGATGCGGGCATCTGGCCTCATGTTTTCTTGAACTAGTTGGCTTTGAAGTTTTTTTACTCTAGCCAGTAGTGAAAGTTTTCTGGGGATAGGAAAATCTGCCTTGATGAGCGGTTTTCATGAAGATTTCAAATCACAAGAAGAAAATGGGGTATTATCAGAATAAGTGATATGATCATAGACAAAAAAGAGCTAGGGTACTGCATAAGATTAAAAAATAAGGAAAGAGGGGCGCCTGGGTGGCTCAGTGGGTTGGGCTGCTGCCTTCAACTCGGGTCTTGACCTCAGGGTCCTGGGATGGAGTCCCCAGTCAGGCTCTCTGCTCAGCGGGGAGCCTGCTTCTCTCTCTCTCTGCCTGCCTCTCCGCCTACTTGTGATCTCTCTCTGTCAAATAAATAAAATCTTAAAAAAAAAAATAAGGAAAGAATTTTAAAATTGTAAAAAAAATAAGGAAATTCCTTGAAGTCGTAAGTAGTGAGAATATGATGGGATCTCAGGTCTGGTTTGCGTTCCTGCCTTTGATCCCCTTCCCCATCACCACCCCCAGCCTCAGTCCCTAACCCAGCCAACACCTTGGATTGCATGTTCTTCTTCACAGAGACCAGTTGTGTAGCTGACCCAGGACCTAGCTATTAACAATTAACAGGGAAGGTAAAAAAGGCAGAAGAAAAAAATGGCCATGTTTATGGTAGCAACATCTCTGAATAACACAGGGAGACAATATAAGCTTCTCCAGTGACCTGAGAGATGAAAGCACGGAATAACTTCGAAAAATCTTGGCACATGAGTTCCACAGAAATGTCCAAAGATACTCCGTGTAGGACTTCAAAACTCAGCTGTTCTTTCTATATAGCTAAGTCAGTTCCTATAAAAACTGCATCCTTGTGGCTTTAAAAAAATTTTTTTTCATTTTTTTAAAGATTTATTTGTCAGAGATCACAACTAGGCAGAGAGGCAGGCAGAGAGAGGGGGAAGCAGGCTCCCTGCTGAGCAGAGAGCCAGATGTGGGGTTTGAATGTGGGGCTTGATCGCAGGACCCTGATACCATGACCTGAGCTGAAAGCAGAGGCTTTAACCCACTGAGACACCCAGGCGCCCCATCCTTGTGGTTTTTTAAAAAAATGCCTCTAGCAATCTTTGAGGTATTGTTACTTGCTTGGAAATAATTCTCAGAAGCACAAAGGAGGGGAAAACCAGAGGAGCTGGCATCAGTGAACAAATTTTAAAGAGCATTGACAGAATAGGATAGCCTTATAAAAAAATTGAGAAAGCATGAAGAATTACCAAAAATGTAACTCATTCTTGTCAGTAAGCAATAAAGGAAATAAAAGTACTTTCCTAATCCTTGGTGTTGAGTAACTTCTACGCTTAATATCTAAATCAGGCTTGCAAGAAATGTTTCTTAACACTGACAGGCACAGAAACACATAGCTGAGGTGCTGCTGACCTCGGCAGTATCTTATAGGTTGTACAGTAATGTTTCCCTCTAGTGCATTGTTCTTTTCCAGTGGCTTTAATTTGCTACACCAAAAAGAAAAGTTTGTCTTCAGCCCCGGGCATGTATGCCTTCCTGTTCTCCTCTGACGTTTTGCTTCTGCAAACATTTATTCTAAGCGTTCTGTGAACATTCCTTTCTATTGATTAATGATCATGATTAATGCCTCTTTAAATACTAAAAGGTGATTGTCAAACTTGGAGTAAGACTTTAATTGTGTCTCTCTCACTTCTATTAATCTTTTCCAAGAATAGTTGCTTAGAAGATTCTGGCCTTTTAGAAAATGTGCCTTAAGTGCAAATTTAGGAAGAACCCAGGGAATTATTTTTTATTAAAAGGAATAAAAAAAAAACCCCACCTCATTCCCGTAAGACTCCTGAAACTCTGAAAGCGTCATAGCCTCTTTTTGATAAGATTATTTTGACATTAGCATTCTCTTTTGAATCGCCCTAATTTTTATTTATGTCATTCTTAAATTGGCCACATATTTTTGGGTACTTACTATGTGCCTAGCATTTTCTAAACTTGGAACATAATCACAACTAAAAAAATCTTTGTCATAGAGGTTACAATCTAGTAGAGGGCGACAGGATGCACAATGTATGGGTGTGATTTCCATCAATATTAACTGAATCGAAAATGCTGGGTTGGTGGTGAACACTACGATATGTAGCCAGGTACACCAATGCAAAGAACTACCAATGTTCCATGATGTTTCTATATGTAATAATGACGGTGCAAAAGGAATTTTCAAATGATCGTAACAGCTGGAGTCCATTTATGGTGATCGAGGAAGAGCAATATGAATGATGGTTGCCAGTCATCATTTTAGTTCTTGTACAATGACTTAGACTACTGTGACTGGTGAGAAGACCTGTAGGGGAAAGGATCATTCCCATCTGAACCTAAACAGCCACAATCTGTATAAAATGTGCAAGCATTGTTAGAGATCTGTACTTTTTTTCTGTGAAGTCTTCATTTGTTGAACATACTGGAAAAGTGAAAATGAAATAAAGTTTGAAATAAATGGAAAAAAAACAATTAAAAAATGAAATGAACTCTCGGGAGATTACAAAATTAACTCAGGAGGTATTTATGATAGCACTTTGGGTGAAGAACCCATTCTTTACCTAATGTTGAAAATAGACATTTAGTAGGAGTCTAAAAATCTTTGAAAGTATCGCTAATGGTGAATTCTAAAACTCTTTGTCTCTGACCCACTTGGGAACACAGGAAACAAATTCTAATGAACTTTAAACTAAAAAAAAAAAAAAAGAAATGAGGATTGGCAAAACGAATTCACTCGTTGGGATTGTTTTCTTGTCAGGTTTTGTTTCTTTTGAGGGCAATCATTAGTGCCTTTCTTGCATGAACACTGAAAGAAAATTTTTAAAAAGCATTCCACAATGGAAATGAAAATGAGATCAGTATACGGTCCCTCCTATCGTCAAAGTAATAGTTACCACTGAAATTGCCCAAATTGTGTGCCAGGCACGGTTCTAAATGGTTTCTATAATAAGTCATTCCCCACCACAAGTCTATTCAGTAGGTTAAGTCCCATCAAGTTCCCCTTTTTCAGCGAAGGAACCAGGTATTTTCTTTAGGATCCCATGGAAGACTTGAGCTTAGAACTCAGGCAGGGCAGTCTGGTTCTGCAATTCCACGCTCTTCACCATGACACCGTCTTGCCATAACAAACACTTCATGTGGATGGTGTGTGTCCCGGGTGCATGAAAGCCAAATGTCACAGCCATGCATCCGCCTGCTGAGCCAGAATGTGACTACATGCAGCCCCATCTTCCCAGAGCCGCACCCTTCCTCATCCTTCCTGTGATCCCAGCTCCCTCCTGACTCTCCTCACACTCCTGCTCCCTCTTTCACCTCTGCCTTTACTTCTGCTTCTTGGGAGGTGAGAGCATTCTCAGGAGACAGTGTAAGGACCCGTCTTAGTCTGCTGAGGCTGCCCTAACAAAATACCACAGACTGGGGGGACTGCACAACAGACATTTATTTGTTACTCTGGAGAAGAAGTACAAGATCAAGGTGCCAGCCCACCTGGTGAGACCTCTCTTTTTGGGTTATAAATGGCCACTGTTCGCTGTGTGCTCACATGGCCTTTCTTCAGAGTGGCGGTGGAAGAGGAGGAGATACCTTCTCTTCCTAAAGAGCCACCAATACTATTGGATTAGTACCCCAACATTTATAACCTCCTTTAAACTTAATTACCTCCCAAAAGCCTTATCTCCAAATATAGTCACTTCAGGAATTAGGGCTTTAGCATATGAATTTTGGGGTGCACAGGTCAGTCCATAGTGGGACTCACGGACAGTGACACATAAGGCCTTTCAAAATCCAAGAATGCCAATTAGAGGAGTTGCAATAATGCCAATTATTCACTTCTGGTTTCACAAATGTGCACCCTCCATAAATTGCTGTGTAAGGATGTTGATAGCTAAAACTTACTTTCCTTCGCGGGCGGCTGACGTAGTTCTAGAGAACAGAGATGGACAGAGAATGCTCAACTCGATTCAAACAAGGCAGTGATTTCCACTTGACTCATCATCACCAGGGGGAATTAACTCACCATAGCAGAGCTGAGGGAAATGCTACATGCCCCTGTCATCAGGATGGTGTGGTAAGTTTTCCTCTTTTTTAAGTGCCGTTGTACACCTCTGGAAAAGAAGTTTGTCATCCTTTGTTTGTCTAGTTCCCAACCTTCTTAGCCCTTGCCCTTCAACCACTCATTGTCCAACTGGGCCAAGGGGTCGTTTCTAATCATTTGTTCATCTTTCTTCAAACATCTCCTGTGGAAAGATGGTCAAAGGCAATCAGCCAATATGACTTTTATGGTCTTTTTAACATCTTCAGGCAGTCTGAGAAGATCTGGAATTTCTTAGTCATTTTGTGTGTCCAGATTTACTCCAGTCTGTGAGTGTGGACCTCTAGGTCTCCTTTTTCTGAGACAGCAGGAACTCCAGGGTGTCTTGAAATGCCCTTGACTCTTAGCTCTGCAAGAGAGGGACTATGTTTCATGTACCAATGTATACTCATCATTTGCAACAGTAGATGGCAGGTTAATTAACTAATTGAGTCACAACCTGAACTACCAAATGAAAGGGTGCTCCTTGGGTTGCTAAGGCCTGACTGGAATCATGTCCAATAATCTGGGTTAAGCAGAGTTCTCAGGATTGTCTCAGCTGAGAAGCTGGCTGGGTCTCGAATTACCCTAATGGGAGGACAAGACTATGCAGGAAAACTTTGTGTACCTGTGGCCACCTGGAATGTACTCACCCCATTTTTACCCCAACTCTACATTTGCCCCCTTCTTCACCGCACACATCCCTACTGCCAGGAAAACACCAACCTATGAGAATATCACAGAACATTCTCATTTTATTTAGTTATAAAACACAGTAATGTATTATGATAATATTATAATATATATT